GTATAATGATTGAAGAAGAATTTTGGTTTGGTGCAAGATTTGATACAAAATTTAGTGTAAAATGATGCAAAATTTGATGCAGGCTAAAGATGACCCTAGTTACCCTTCCCATTTTGTCACTGCTCTTCCACTTGTCAAAGTGTGGGCGGTGGCCTCTACTGTCTCTCTACATCATCACAGGTGAAGATTATACAAATTTGAGGTCGTTTTCATGAATCCATTAATATGCACAGAATTGTGGTCGGTTGTATTATATTGATTGAAGTTCGTCAATATGCCCCACTGATATCACTATTGTGTGTATATATACACTTAAATCGAACACAATAAAAAATGCAGTGAAATAATCACTAACAAAGAAAAGGGGGGGACAAAAGTTTTCCTGTTTTTAGTGTGAGAAAGGGAAGAAATGGAGAGCAAAGAGGAAGATGTACGAGTGGGAGCCAACAAATTCAACGAGAGGCAGCCGATTGGCACGGCGGCGCAATCCCAAGACAAGGACTACAAGGAGCCACCACCGGCGCCGCTTTTCGAGCCCGGCGAGCTGTCCTCATGGTCGTTCTACAGAGCTGGCATTGCCGAGTTCATAGCCACATTCCTGTTCCTGTATATTACAATTTTGACAGTGATGGGAGTTAGCAAGTCTGATTCTAAGTGCTCTACTGTTGGAATCCAAGGTATTGCTTGGGCATTCGGTGGCATGATCTTTGCCCTTGTTTACTGCACCGCTGGAATTTCAGGCAAGTTCTTTACCTATAAATGGTTCGCATATTTGGCTTCTATATACCTTGATCTTTAACCTTAATATCTCATACGAGTAATCGATCTGTCTAAAACTCTAAAATTGAGTTAGATTTCAGGATTGGCGTTCTCAGTTGGGTTGCTCCGTCTTGATGATGAGGTTGAAGTTTAACATGGAATCGTCTGTGTCTCTGTAGTTAGTCTTTGATAGTAGCTTTGGGAATCAAAATAAGAAATTACCTAATTCAAAATTGAGTTGATTTTATATTAATTTCTGTTCTGAATAACAATTATAACAATATTAACTTATTTTCTTCAAAGAAAATGGCATAATTATTACTGGAAAAGAAAGCAAGTTGTATGACCAGTAACTTATTGACGAGTTGTTTGCTGTGCAGGGGGGCATATAAACCCGGCAGTGACATTTGGGCTGTTTTTGGCCAGGAAATTGTCATTGACTCGGGCTATATTCTACATGGTGATGCAGTGCCTAGGAGCCATATGTGGTGCTGGTGTGGTTAAGGGGTTCGGAAAGACCCTGTACATGTCCAAGGGTGGTGGTGCTAATGTTGTAGCTCACGGTTACACCAAGGGTAGTGGCCTAGGTGCTGAAATTATAGGTACCTTCGTTCTCGTTTACACCGTTTTCTCTGCTACTGATGCCAAACGTAGCGCCAGAGACTCTCACGTTCCAGTAAGCACTCCTCTTTTCTTTTTTGGCTAGTTTCTCTTGAAATTTTTCATTTGTACAGGTTGTAGATATTGATCAATCAAAGCACAACATTATTGACTCAAAAAAGTTTGATTAATTGGACTCCCTAATTCTGTAATTCTATGGTTTTCAGATATTAGCCCCCTTGCCTATTGGGTTTGCCGTGTTCTTGGTGCACTTGGCGACCATCCCTATTACAGGTACTGGTATTAACCCCGCCAGGAGTCTTGGTGCAGCAATCATCTACAACAAAGACAAGGCATGGGATGATCACGTAAGCTAAAATTCAACTGTATCTGAATTCAGTATAATCAGGATTCTACTATTGAAATATTCGAGTTAAGGACTCACTCAGACAATTATATCCTAACTTACACTACAAGTCGTGTTAAATTTGGCGTGTATAAGGTGAATGGTAAAATGTGACATATTTTTACGTTGTTAACTTACCACAACCCTCCTATTTTAGGATGATAAGGTTGGATAAAGTTAGTTATCTTTTTTCCTGATAATGTGCAGTGGATATTCTGGGTTGGACCATTCATTGGGGCAGCACTTGCAGCTCTCTACCATGTGGTTGTGATAAGAGCCATCCCATTCAAGAATAAGTGATGCCATTAGGCTTTCTCACTTGTAGCCACTGCTTCAAGCACATGAAGTATATTGAAGGCTGAATTATATCTGTTATATTTTCTATTTTCCTCCGTTTGCTTGTATGTATATTATCAGTACTCGTGTATTAAAATTGTGACATGCTCTTAGAAATGGACTTTACTTTTGAAAGAAAG